TCCAATATTAATATCAAATATCTTTAAAGCGAAGTGTGGAAAACTAATGACATGTAGCGTTAATGAATGTGCTTTCAGCTGAAAGTGCTATTTTGGTTAGCTGACAGACATGAAACACCAATGCTTCACTGCAGCTGTGGCTTCCTAAGAAGTCTTAAGCTCATGGGAGGGAGGTGGGGCCTTGCCATTTGACTTTGTGCCAGTGCATTGCTGCTTGTAATGTTTGCCTTGCAGAGACTGCAGGACAGATGTTGCATCGGAGGGGCCTGCGTCGCTGCTCTTCAGGGAATCAAAGATTTCAAACTGTTTATCCCTCTGGAGCAGGCCCACAGTAAATGTGTATTTCAGAGGGATGTTTGTGAGTAACGGGTATATTTTTGAGATAAATCACAGAGCAGATAGACTGAGGCATTAGCTGGACTCCTTGTTAAATAGTGGAAAATCCATGCATAAAGAAAATCCATACACAAAATCTTGGTGAGTGGGTATCCCCTAAGGTACTTCAGCTGAAGCTCCTCTCAGCAGTCAGTTGCGAGACAAATCTGTAGAAAACCCTGTCTTGTTAGTGTTTGTGGAATGATTTAAGGGCTTACAGAGTCAGGTGTCCTTCAGAGCCCCAAGATGCGTGGCAAGGACCTCACTAATGTTGCCAATTGCAATTTTGGCTTGCAAGGTTTTTGACTGCCTCACACGTGGGGCATCATGCAGCTCATGTTTTGTCTTATTTTCCAATACTTTTTTTTTTTTTTCTCAGCAAAACAGAATATTTGGCCTTTGGACATAGACATCATCAGTCTGCAATCTTAACCTGTGCTTTGGGCCTCCAATGGATTTGTATGAATCCAATGTCTCCCATAGGTTGAAAGGGCATACAAACGTTTATGGTTTGGAAATGGATTGTAGGGAGTACTACTATGGCAGGTCTTCAGGTTTTCCTCTTGTGTGGGGTTTTTTTTGTTGTTTTTATTCTTTCCTTGTATGTGTGTTACAGATAGGGGATTTAATGTCTGTTTTTTCCAGAGTGGGAAATGGAAGTGTACAGTCTCTCAGTTATGAATTGGCAGGGGAGCAGTATCTGCCTGGAGGAAATGAAGGGTAAGAGAGTTACTTTTACTTTTACCTCCTTTAGTTGCAATTACAGAGCTTTAACTTTTATTACTAGCCTGTTGGAAAATTACCTTTTGTAGAATCTTCCTTAAGTGAAAATACATCGGTGTACAAGGAAGAAGGTATGTGGCCCGGTTGACTGCAACACTTGAGTGTACGTGATCTACAATAAATCTCTGCTTAAGACAACTAGATCAGGTCCTAGGAAAAGAATACTAATTTTCTTTCATACTAACTTTAGTCTAGCCAAGTCATATTACTTTAGCAACAGTTCTTCCTGTTTGGATATATTTAGCAGACAGTGCAGACCATGAGGTCAAGCTTCATTATGATTTTAGTATTTTATAGATTGACATATGATATGGGAAACGGTGCAAGTCTATTTTACTGTTAGTAAAAAACACGGGGGGTTTCTTTTAGTAAGAAAAAGCAGTCGTAACAAAGTATAAGTAATAGTAGTGAATGATACCAAGAAGCAATTTAACTTTTGCTTAGATGTAAAGTTTTATAGACCTGAAGAATGTTTTATGGACATTAGAACTTGCCTTTCTTCCAATTATATCAATGTCTAGGGTGTTATTTTTCACTGCAGACCTTGCTTACTTTCAGTTTATTTCTTGATGAAACTGTATAGCTTGAAATCACATTCTAGGTCAGATCAGTTAAAACTGATAAGTAGACAAGCTTCTGCTGTATCTCATGCATTATTGTGCATATTATGTCACTAATATATTTTTTCTTCTGTTAATGATAACCATTTTTGTAATTAGTAAAAACAACACTAGTACAAAAATTGCAAAACAGTTGCACTGGGAGGATGAAAATTCTTTAAAACTTGGATGGGTTGTACCTGGGTGCTTTTTTCCCTCTTGTCCTAATTGAGCATATTTGTGGCTACAGTTTCTAACACTGATATGACCTATCCACTAGCAGGGTGGGTCATAAGAAAGAGTGGAGTGTGGGGACCTGATAGTAGGTGAGTTTTTCTTTTAGTGTGTGTTACCTTACTCCCTTAGGTTGTTGGGGTATTACCAATAGAGCATCTCCTACCCAGTTTCATGACTTTTGATGATGCTTGTGGGAAGGAGCGTCTGGGGAGGCAGAATACAGTTCTGACTTGGCTAAATTGGCTGACATACCAAAAATCTATCAGGAGGGAACTGAATCATGTTTTAAAAGGCTGAGGTTGTTGTCTAGCTTGATTTAACAGGTAGGAGTTGCACAGATTTCCAGCACCTGCCATCAGGAGAGGTGGAAAGCTGGCTTTTGCCCTCCTCTTAGGCTTGTTGAGTAACCTCCAGTGTCTGCTACTGATCATTTCATTTAAGTTCCAGATGGATTAATTTCTGGAGAGAATGTTTTAGTAAATGCTGCAAGTAAAACATTATGTAGTCCTTTCTGTTTTAATAATATTACTGTGTTTGAGGGAGGCACTGTTTGCTATTCCAAATATTTGTTTCTGTGCCATAGTTCAACATTGTTGCTCCTGCTGAGAGAACACGAGGTACTTGACTCAACTGCCCCGGTCACAGTTAGTTGAAGTGGTGTGGTGGCCTTTCCCTTTTCTGATCGAGCAAACTGATTCTTGACAGAATTTCTTTTGGTCACGTGTATCTACCCTTTAAGAAGATGAATTAGCGGAGCCAGTACCTGAAATAACTTTTCATCAGCAGTGAGAGGTCTTTTTCGTAGGTCATAGCACATGTCATCCTGCTTTTCCTGTGTGGCTTTTTATTTGGAATAGCGATGCTCTTTGTGGGCTAGCTGTGCTGTCTAAAACCAAAAAACTAAAACCTACAAAGCTTTTTGCTAAACTTGTGCATCTTTGAGCCAAAGCATTCTTCTGACTCAGGTATGAACACTGCTGTTGGTAGACCTGGTGCTTGATTCTGACATGACTCTGCAGGGACTTGTCTTCTGCAGTTGTGCAGCCTTGGTGCTGATCACCACTGCTTAAACCAAATAAATGCGGAATATGAAGGGTCCAAGCACGCTGCCAGCCCTTTGGCTCTAGAAGCAGGATTGTTCTCTTAGTAGTTATAACATCTTCAAGTGAGGTACTTGGTGAGAAGATGCATTTGAAGAAGCGAGCTCAGGCAACTTCCCTTCTTTGCTTCAACAAACTGATAGGCTCTAAGCCAGAGCAAGGCACCGTCCTTCCTGGGGGTGTGTGTGTAAGGCAGATGGAGCACAAGTTTCTTCAGGCAAAAGCCAGAAACCCCACCCTCTTGCAAGGGTGGGGGTTCTTCCTTAATACAAGGAAACATCTGAGTAAAACATAAACTTTAAAGAACTGAAGTCAAAATTTTAAAAAAATTTATTCCTTCAATTTTATATACAATAATTACAGACTACTGTACAAAGGTGTAAATGGTCTTTGCTGTGAGTTGTTGCGCATATGCAGCTTAGTAGACAGATTTAACATTCAATTTGAATCTCAGTGCAAATAGGCACTAAAACATCCAACATACCTCCAAGGTATAAAAAGACATACCAGTTTTACAGGTTTCTCCAGCATATTTTGTTACAGTGCAAAATGCTCTGAAATAAGATTTCTTTAGAAAATTCACCTAAAGTAAATACATATTGCACTTGTCCCAACCAAAAGTGTAACAACTTGTACTTACTGAACTAGTTTGATATGTTTTAGAACTTCCCTCACACACGGCTATGTGTGCCAGCTATGTGTAGTTCTTATTCCAAATCTTAAATAACTGTTTATAGCTCTTTGACTAATGCCATCCCTCTTGAACAGACTGCTGAAGAAAAATCACAGTGGACTAATGTCCCAAGAAAATTCTCCAAAACCCATTTCAGTCATCTTTTCAGTAGCACTGTAACTGAATACATAGAAATCAGTATTGTTTACATTCATAATGCAAGTGCATTGAACACCAACCATTTCAGACACTTACACCCCTATTGTCTGGAAGGAATTAAACCTCCAGTTCTAAACACATACGTATTTCTGCAGTACTTCAAGCTGCTAAGCTAACATTGCACCCACATTTTGTGCAATACCACAGGTAAGACTTTTGACTGCTGTACATCACTGTCTGCTATGGGACCTGTTGGGAGAAGTGGTGCAGAGTTGCATTAACTTCTGAGAACAAAGTCTATGTTGGCTGAATCTAGTCAATACAATCTTTACACCCACCAAACGAGAAATAGAGGTGACAGCAAGTAACATCAACCTTACTGGGTCTGAGTTTCCGTAAATCTTTACAAGCCTTGAGATTTAAAGGAACAAGTGCCTATGAGTGCAGATGCTAACTTTGTGCTTAAGGTATTTGAAGCTGAAAGGTAAGGGAGTAGCTTAGGAACAATTTTTTATTTTTTTTTTTTTTTTAGCAAACCAGTATGAACAAAGTTGCTATTAAAACCACTGACATATAAAAGCAGAGGAAAAGTAAAACACGTGGCTAGCTGAATGCTAGTCCATGTCTTAAACAGTTGAGGGTTACCTGCAAAATGCTTCCAACATTTAACTTCTTCCCCCTACTTCACCTTAGAGGACTCTACTTACTCTTGTAACATAAGAAAAGAGCATTTCTTTTCCAAAAATATTTCTGCATTCAACTCAACTCAGTCATTCAGAACATGAGCGGAAGAAAACCTGATTTCTGGTACTATGATATTCTCCAGATCCATTTCTGGAGCCGCAACAGTAAACTGTACAGTACTTTCTAAAGGCAGGTCCCCATCTTACTTGATATAAAGTCCTTAAGGCAACATGCTGTTTATACAAGTAACGAGATGAAATCTTAATTTGACACATTTAGGAATTCTTTATACAGACAGCATAAATTTACACCACTTGAGTGGGTCAAGTGTTTAGGTTTAAAAAAATCCAAGCAGCCAGGCTTTGTACCAGGAGAACCAACAGATAACGTTCACAAACTAGAAGGCTGCTGGATCACTGGACCTGGTTCACATTCACGAAGGTTGTCTTCTGACCTCATATACATTAGGAACACAGTGACAGTAGCAAAGGTAGCTGCGTTGACAGGGAAAGCGCGGAGAAGTGTGGAAGTAAGACCTCTTGTGAACACCCTCCAGCCTTCTTCATGGTAACTCTTTCGGACACAGTCCAAAATGCCATTGTATTGTGTAACGCCTCCAACTCCATCGGCCTGAAGCCGGGATTTGATCACATCGACAGGATAGGTTGAGAGCCAGGACACGATGCCTGACATCCCCCCGGAAAACAGCAGTTTGGGAATAACGTAACTGTCTTCAGCTTCACAGCCTAAATACCTGGTCATGCAGTCATAAGTCAGGAAGTAAAAGCCAAAGCTTGGAGTCTCTCTTATCAACGTAGAGACCATGCCCCTGTTGATACCCCTCAGCCCTTCCTTTTGATAGATTTTCATCAAACAATCCAGAGAATTTTTGTAGTTCTTAGTTTTTTGTTTGTATTCACCTGTTCCTTGAAGCTGCATTCTTGTCTTTGCCAACTCCATGGGACAGCAGATGATGCACTGGATAGCCCCTGCTGCCGACCCTGCAAGGAACTGGTTTAGAGGAGTGTCTTTTCCAAGAGCACGAAGTGTGTTTCCTTGTACACCAAACACAAGCGCATTAATGAAGGTCAGTCCCATCATTGGTGACCCAATACCTTTATAAAGTCCAAAAGCCTAGTGGAAGAAGGAAGGAAAAACCCTTTTTAGCAGTGGTGTTGGTAACCTCCTGAAACTGTGCAGAACATGGTCTTTCTGGCTCTCCCTTGTGCTCTAACTTCCTAACAGTGGCCAGAAGATCAGTACAATCTGGCTTTGTAACAGTAATTTCATGGCTGCCTAGGACACAAACATCTAAACATTTTTAGCAGTACAAATATATAGTTGAACACATCCAGAAAACAACCTTAGTCCATCCAGAGAAAAGTTTTCTGGTAAATTTAGCTACTTAAAAAAATAAAGTACAAAAAGCTTAAAGACACCCTTTTAGTTACGGTCTTAAAGCTTCAGCAGAAAAAAAACCTCATTGATTTCTTCACTCTGCTCAGATTCTTGCAAAATTAGCTATTCAAATAACTCACTTAAAAAGTTAACTTCAAAATAACAACTTCCAGCTTAGTGAGCTTCATGAATTTTCTGGCAAACTTCTGATGACAAGATCTGCCCTATGCTCAGGTGAGGTTCAGAGTATGCTTATCTCTTGCTCGTCAATATTTGTAGGGGTTTTTTTTAACAGCTTTCCCACCCTTCTGATACAAAATATGTGAAGATACAAAATATGCAAAGCATTAATTTTGTACTTACAGATTCTTGCTTTATGATGGACTGAAAGCAATGGAAGGTCCCACGGTAGAGAGGTTTCTCTACATTTTGAACTTGTAGACGAACCTGTAAAAAGTTGTATGAGATACTGATTTGTATGTCAAGAGCAATCTAACTGGTAAAGTAGTGTCTTGTACACATACGGAGATTTGCTAGAGCAATGGGTATGCAAGAGCACAGGTTGGACACTGGAATGCCATACGTGGCAAAATAATTTAAAAATATTGTGTTTTGAATTAATTTTTGGGGTAAAAACATGAAGGGAGGAGGATTATTAATTTCTTGTAACTATTAGAAAAACAGTATGTGGAAGTACAACAGGGTACACTTATCAGTTTTCCAGTACTGGCTACAATAAATGCTTTCTTTAGCTGCCAAGAATACTTCTGTTAAGGCTAAGGAGTATCTGTAGAAACCTGAGGGAGTTTTACAAAAAATTATTTACAAGTCAAAGCATGAAATAAGGATAATCTTAAAATGATGGTAACTTTCAACAACACTTAGTGTTTCTGGCTACCAGACTTGGGACCCTTAACTGAAATCCGTTTTTTTTCAGAGAGTAGCTGGGAAGTGACTCTGTCTTATTTTGCATAAGGAAAGGAATAAAAAGCCACTTGTCCTTTTAAATTTTAGTCTGTTTTTTAACCTGCTGA